TGGCGTGCATGAACTGAATCATGACCCCTAAACCCTCAAACCCAAACCGTAAACCCCAAAACCCTCAAACCCCTAAATCCTCACACCCTATATCTTTGTGAAAGTCTTATATCTTAAACCCCGAACCCTAAACCGGAGTTTCTGACACTATGAAACTCCGGGTTCAAGGCAAGATTCCCCAAGGGCCGCTCCAGAATACGCGAGGTAATATAGCGGCTGGAATAACTTAAAGGGTTTAGGGTTTGGGGTTTTAGAGTTTAGGGCTTTAGGGTTTAGGGTTGAACCCCGGGAAGCTCATACATTACTCTTAGGGATTGAGGCTATTGGGTTTCCAACTTTTGGGCTTTTACTATAGTAATACTATTCCTTAGGCCTTAGGGCTCCTTATGGCTATTCTAGTACAATATTCCTCAGCGCGCTGTTCTAATTCTGGAGGCCCGTATATTATCAACCGGGTCGTTCGACGTTATGTATCGTGATTTGAAGTCGCAGCCGCCAACTCGGGCCGGCGACCCAAACCCAAGTGAGTAAACTTACATAATACCCTAATCCAAATTCCTGAAACTAAACCGCAAAGTCATATCCCTAACCCCTCGAAACGCAAACCTCCAGTCATATCCGTAACCCCTCAAAACGCAAGCCCCCGGCCCTACATATATGTTCTGAAGCTGCTCGCTCTTGTGCTCTGTTGAGGCGGAGTGATGGACGTCCGTGGAGCCCCGGAGACATCTCGCTGAAGTGGGAGCACCCTGGGCTGAACTTTGGGGCGTCAAGCTTGAAGCAGTTTCTGTCAGTTTAGGGTTTCGGGTTGATGGCTTAGGCCTAAACTGCTGCTGTGTCTCTTCTCTTGTGTTCTTAGCTCACCGGCTAAGTTAAGAATCTATCGAATACTTGCTTGGCAAACATGCTTTACTCATTATCCCACTATATAAGTTTAACTGTACATACTATAATATTACTATAACTCACGTACTCCAAAACCCCAGTCGATCTGGGTATTGTGAAGGCCCTAAACCCCTAAACCTTAAACCCTGTATGAAGATCATTGGTAACACGGGCCGAGGCTTGAGACTGTCCGTCTCTCGCATTGAAGATTTGGTCGGGTCTGGCAGAGCCCTCAAGGGTCCAAAGGACCGAAACCCTAAATAAGCCCTGAACGCTCTGGTTCGGAGTTCGGTTTGTATACTCTCAAGTTCTGGATTATCAGGTCCATGTGTTTCAAATTGGTTCTAGTGTAAGCTGAGTCTGGAGAGTTTGGGTCTGGGACTAAGGGTTAGGGGTAGATGGCTTGGATCGGATGGGGTGTTCAGGTATGACAAATCGATGCTGGGCTCTTGGGAGTCTGTGAGTTTGAGGCCTATCCAAAGGGCTGGTTTTGGTGTGCTGTGAGTTAGATCTTGGCTTTTGGATCCGGTGTGTGCTGGTCTTGGGGGGCATCACCTAAATTGTAGGAGTCGGGTCTGGTTCACGGCTTCACTTGTATCCTATAACATGGAACCCTCCCCATAAACCCATCAAGCTTACACCATGGCTAGTTTCGACTTGCGGCGAATGCCTGGCACCTTTCTAGCTAGTTCTACGGGGCACTGTGGGTTTCGTGTTTGGGGGGGCTTTTGGCTTAACGGCTTATTATGGATTGAGTCCAGCATTTTTGCATCCAGCCCTGGGCCCTAAAACCAGAGTATTCAGCGAATAGCCACGTAGCATTCAGATCTAAACCCTAAACCCTAACCCCCAAACCCAAAACCGTGAGTCCTAAACCCTAAACCCTAAACCGCTGCAGGTAT